CAAAACTGTCGTGGCACAAGAAACAAGGTCTAGACTTAAGTAGAGAATTAGAATTGAGTATAACGATAAGTACAACAAACAATCTGATCCCTTAGTCGAGAAATCCAAAGCCAAACAACCAACTATTACAGTTAAGATTTTGTCTAGAGAACCATCATCGAAGCCTCTATCTCATCCTTTGGACAATATAGAAGTGAAAACTCCACCTATAGTACCCATTGAGAAACAGAAGAAAATCAAATCCACTTCCAAACCAACTGTCACTTATAATTGGTGGATTAAGGAGGCCAATCTTACCATCTGCATTTATCCAGTTATCCACTCTAGGAGTCACAAAAAACATTTCTCATCTGCGTCTATTTCAAAATTTTCTATTAAGAAAACCTCCGGCTCTAAAACATCTGGGGTGCCGAAACTATCTGCTTAATCTTTTGCAGGAACTATGCTCGTACAAGCGAGATAAGAATTGGTGTAACACCCCATTTTTGCATTTCCAATAGAATTCAATACAAACCATCGTTTATAAATTCCGAAGTATAGATATATTAATTTTTTTCCAAAGTAATAAGCATTAACATGTACGAAATGTCAATATGATTTCCGTAGATATATAGAACACCCGAATCTGACTTCGTATGACGAAATTATGATTCTTCGAAGTTTTGCGATTAAACTGAAACGATTCCACATATCGTAAAAAGTGAATTTGAGATAGGTTTCTTATTAGCTTAAGCAATCTGAATGAAAATCTTAGTAGTCGTAAAACCAAGAGCGTACATATAGAGAACGTCCAAATCTGACTTTGTATGAGGAAATTATGATTTTTAGTGTAACATCCATGAAATCATGATAAATTTAAACTTTTTTAAAACCAACCCAAATTCACAATTTGTTTACAAACATAGTTTTCAAAACATTTTCAACATCAGAGTCTCCTAAAATCATAAGATAAAACATGAGGATGTGTACGGTCACGCCTTCGCCTTCCCGCGGTCATCTGAAGTACCTGGAACATAACCCAAAACTGTAAGCCAACGCTTAGTGAGATCCCCCAAAGTACCAACACAACACATAATCATAATAACAAACAACATGCATACAGAGCCTTCAGCCTGACTGGTACGCCCCACCAGCCTACATACTATCTGGTACGCTCACAGAACCTTCAGCATGACTGGTACGCCTCACCATGCCTTCAACATATGAGGAACGTTCTTCGGGCCTTCGGACTGACTGGTACGCCTCTCGGGCCTGCAGTCTATCTGGGACGCCCTGGGTCTCTTGGCCTTCAGTCTACACTGGTCTGCCTCAACCCACCCATACATAAACCATATCGACATATGCATAACATATAAGCATTCATATAACCAGTCAACAAACAATCAGACAGATCTTACAGATCACTAAGCATAACATCTTCCTATATACCAGGATACAGATCTATCAGATCACTACAGCATACCAACATGCGATAAACCATGATAACAATCTATTGGGCCGACCTTGGTGCCTTCGACCTGAAAGTATAGTGAGGAAAACTCACCTCATAAAGTGAACAAAAGCTGATGAGGTCCCGACTCTGAATCTCAGCTCTCTAACTGACACCTATTCCCACCAATGACCAATTTCCATCAAAATCCCAAAATACCCAACATACCCTCAAGGTCAAACTTGGTCAAAGTCAACTGGTCAAACCAACAAGGTCAACCGAGTCAACTCGACCAAGTCAACTTAAGGTGTGTACGCAGGGCATACTCCGGAGGTACGTTGGGTGTAAACGAAGCCTTGCAGGTTGACCACCATCGGGGTGGTTGACCTCGTATGCAGGGCAATACTCCGAGTACGCGGGGCGTACCCTCGCAAATCCAAAAATTCCAATAAGAGCTTAATGGCTTAAGCTCTTACGTCCATAATTCAGATCCATGGCTAAAATCCACCTAGGAGTCATAAAGTCTCCAACTTTATGACCTAGCATGTCCAATAAGTTCTTAACACAAGGTCTTATTCCATTAAGACCTTCTAAATGATGCATGAAGCAAAACTAACCATTTGGAGCCCATTTTTATGACTTAAGACCCCTCATAGGGTCTGAAAGTACAACTCAAAGGTCAAGAACATGCCATATTCAAGATCTAACATTTTGGGACCAAAAAGCTCCATAAAGACATCCAAAACTAGATCTATATGCTAGAGGAATAAAGTTGCGAACTTTTTACCTTAGAATGGTTGCAAATGATATAGAAATCCCAGATCCAAGTGTTCCACTCCTTCACGATGAGCTTGGCTTCCTTCCTTCTTCTTCTAAGGCACCAAAAACACACTTCTAAGCTTGAAAAGGCTCCTCAAGGTGAAACTAGGGTGACACAAACATATGAGAGGTATGAAGGCAGATAAGGTGAATGAAATGAGGCCACAAGAGTGCTTAAGTACGAGACACACCCTAAAAATTAGGGTTTCCTTATCTAGAAAGTACGCCCAACGTACACTGATTTACGCCCAGCGTACTAAGGCGCGGAAGTACACCACATATGCATGGCGTACTCCAAGAGCAAAATTACAAAAATGCCATTAGGGCTCCTTTGCACACTTTCTTGAACTTAGGGACCAAAATGCAACATGATCAAGTTATAGGGTTGAATTTAGAAGTACCTTAACATCGGGTTGCTACATTTAGAAGTTTCGGTGTAGCAGTGCACGCCATAGAAATCGAAATCACGATCGGTCGATTGTTAGCCGAAACAATCTAAACGAGAGTTGGAGATCTTGTTGATACAATTCCATCAATATAAAGACAACCAAGAATAGATTTTGTATAAAAGAGATATGAATTTTAAGTGGAGTTTAGCAGTCTAAGCATGTTAAAATTATAACTTTAAAAATAAGTTGATAATTAGCTGATGGAGTCTAAACAAAAGTTGTAGATCGTGTTGACAGCTACACGTGGATTTAAAGAACGAAAAATAACAGAGCTCATGTGAAGAAGTTATGAATTTTTGAAAATCTGCTAAATCGCGTGCTTATAAGGCGCGTGACGCGCGTCTAACACTCCACCAGGAAAGTGATACATGGCACCGTCCTGCACCACCCAAGTGCACGACGCATCTGGTAGGTGTGCACAGTGTGCATCTTCGAACAATTCCTTATAAATAGCTTTTGAAGCCCCATTTCGTTCCTCACACCCTCCCAACGTTTCATCTCGAATTTCCATTCATTAAACCCAAATTTTCTTAATATTTATGGTTATTTGACTAAGCCTTGAAATCCCGAAGATCCCGACAAATAGAATCTTTCAGGTTCGGAGTTCTGCCTACGAAATTCCCAATTTTCGCTAAAAGACTCTCTGTAAATTAGGCTACACTTACTACACTTAAAATGTAACTTGTATTTATATTCATAGTCGTTGTTATGAATGTATATATAAGATTTATTAGTAATTCTAGTTATAGTGCTGTTGAAACTACTTACGAGAGAGGTGTCTAGAAGGGTTATGTTGGCTTGGTTGTTGGATTTCAGAATAACTATATGCTGAAATGATCTTGCCTCCTAGCTGTCCTGCCCGACTGATCCTTATTTGTTAGAACTCTCAGTATTTATTGGGATTAGTGAAAGATCTTGCTTTCATTACCAGATTTTCATAATGATTAATAAGTAATAATGTTATAGGTTAATACTCGCTAGGACGTTACAAGTTTGTATCAGAGCCATGGTTTAAGAGAATTGGATGAACATTTGTGTGATTGCATACTCAAACCGAGGATCTGAATATCCTAAACAAATCTTTTTAAGAAAAAGAACTTTATTCAAAAAGAGAAGAATACGATGCGTACAGTCAGCCAAAGCTCGGGAAGGAAAGTAATTCCCAAAATATCCATATTGTTATAATTGTTGATATGTAAAATGATAGAAATGCATGCTGGTATGTAGGCTATGGATCTTTTTAGGAATTGCTAAATAGAATTGTCTGATACTTAAGATGTCTTATACCCTAGGAACATTTGCTTGTTCCTTGCTGTCAGACCTTTCCCGGCCGATGACGAAAATGCCGAGTGGTGACAGTATTTACATAGATTACCCAAATCACAGAGCGCAAACCATACCTAGTTTTTATAATAAAATTTTGTCATTCAAAAAAGAAAAAAAAAGATAAGATTAAAATAATAATTGAAAAACATAGTAGAAACAATAAACACATTTGCTTAAACTTTCCTTATGTTTTCCAAGAATTCGGGGAGTGCATCACATCTTTCATAAAAATTCTCGTAGAATCGAGAATGAAGTTTTCATTCTGTACATGTCGAATCATGAATTAGTAAATGCATTTAATTTCTAAAAAATATCCCATTTGTTTCTATTTTTCGAATGAAATATTTATGAAATCTTCATGAATAGGATGAAACCTTATTCCATAGTATTTACATGAGGTTCTTCTTTCTTATTATTAAGAAAGTCCCCAAGAGGATTTAGTTGATCAATGATTTATGTTTCATCTTTCGTTTCCTTTTCGTTTGTTTCGAGAAATATATCGATCAATTCCGATTCTTTCATCTTCACTTCAAGTATGCCTTTGTGATTTTGTTGTTGTAGCTTTCACGAGTGATTGAGTATTGTTGAAGGAGACTATTCACTATCGTTTATATTATATACATACCTATTCTTATTCTATGGTTCGTTATTGTAGATACTCCTATTTAACTCAAAAGGTACATATTTGTTGTTAGAAATTAACGTGTTTGCGACATATGTCCACAAGAAGTTAAAGTCAAACGACTTTGGATCATACTTAAATAAATCTTTCTTTGTTTCATCTAACAGGTTGTCTAGTAGGCATGTAGAGTAGCAGTATATTAATTGCATCATTTTCATTTCATTTACGTGACAAAGATTTAATTAAAATTACAAGTTTAATTACAAACACAAATGTCCAGACACAAGACGACGGCATACGACATATAACCAAGATTAGTGGGCCCACAATAAACAATAACAACAAAATAACAGTTTTACTCATTCCGCTCTTCTATCTTCACCGGAAGACCACCTTTCATCTTGGCCGTGAAGTAAGATACGTAAACCGGCTCGATCCCCGCCACAGGGACCACCTTAAACCGCCGTAAAACACCCGCCGCCACCCTCTTCATTTGCAAAAACGCCATTTCTTTCCCCAAGCAAACTCTCGGTCCCGCCTGAAACACCGGATACTCATAAGCATCCCTCGGTTTAAAAATCCACCGCCCTGAAATATCCTTCTCCAACCACCGCTCCGGCCGGAACTCAGCCCAGTCGGAACCCCATAACTCCTCTGACCTCCCCATTGCGTAGATGTGATACGTTATTGGACAACCTTTCTTCATGAAAGTGCCGTCAGGCAAAATATCGTCGTCCGCCGCTTGCTTCCCGTCCATGGGTACCGGCGGGTAAAGTCTCATGCTTTCGCATAGGGAAGCGTGGGTGTAAACCATTTCTTTCACTTCGTTATAAATGGGGTATTCAGATTTGTTTTTAATTTCAGTGAGAATTTCGATTTCGACTCTAGGGTGCTTGTGAAGCAACCAGAAGAACCACGTCAACGCCGCCGACGTTGTGTCTCTTCCAGCCAATATGAAGCTGATGACTATGTCAGCGACGAAATTATCATCGGAATGACCGGAGTTCAGAAACCGAGAAAGTAGATCAACTGAATCGAGGGATGATTTTTGCTGCAGTTCTAGTTTTTTTTCTTTGGTGACTTTGTTAGCGAATTCACGAACGACGCCGACGGCGATACGAAGCCGTTTCTCCGACCCAATGTTCAGAAGTCGTTTAAGTTTCCATATCAATGGAAGATTCGTGCGGAGTCTTCCGGTAATGATCGTAACAGCTTCGTCAAACGCGGTGGCGAATATGGCTTCCGGCATCGACGGCATCAAGTAAGCAGGATCATATCCGAATGCGATGTTGCATATGTTATCAAACGCAAATCTCTGAAGTATATCTTCGAAGTTAAGGACAGTGGTTCCTGTCGCGGCTGAGGTGGCGAGTATCGGCAGTAGACGGTCGTTAAGCTCAACGTCCACCACATGCTCGACGAATTTCCGCAGAGACTTTGTGTTAAATTCATGACTCGAAACTTGTCTCTGAAACTTCCACCCATCACCATCGGTGTTGAAGATGCCGTCGCCAAGTAAATCGAACCCGTTGTTTCTCGCCGCCTTGCCTTTCGGGTAGAGGTGGAAGCTGGTTTTAAGTATGTGTTGAACGACGGCGGGATTGGCGGTGATGACACGGACACGGCCGAGAGGGCGGTGGAGCAAGAAGGTTTTAGTAGGGCTGTCGTTGACGATGTCGGACGTCCATTGGATCAACCGGTGGCTGTTTTGCAGTATAGGGAACAAAGATCCAATCAATGGGTAAGATATCGGAGTATATTTTCCAGGGTATTTGATTAATAAAGAGGAGAAGATTGATTTGAAGAAGAAGAACGTGAGCGGAAGAAGTAAAAAGAGAAAGGATGTCGAGAGGTGAAGGTCTATCATGGTGCTGGTGGATAAGTGGAGGATATGATAGAACATCAAAGGGTATTTATTAGACCAACAAAAGGGTGGCCGGGTCTGGTAAAAATTTCCTGCCTTATATCGGTTTGGGTCAAAAAAAAATTTAAATTTTATGGGTGTTTGGCTAAACTTATCGCTTTTAATAATCACTTCTCAACTTATAACTTATAAGCTAATAAGTTAAGGGGGAGTTATTTGTAGATTTTGACTTATTTCCGGTATGACATATTGATAAGTTATTTCTATCTAACACTCATTTTAACTTATACCGGCGTGGAACTAGTAATAAGTTAAAAAATAAGCTTAAATAAACTTAGCCAATACGACTTGAACTTTGTATCACCGAAAGATACGGCTAAGTCTTTTTTTTTTTTTGGTTGACAAAATAAATACATTTTCATTTATTGATTTTTTGTATATTTTCATTAATTTATTAAATAAGATATTATTAAATTTAATTATTTTTAACCATCGATTCATTTTTAAATATTTTTGATGAAAATACTAATTTATTGTTATGGGTAAAATTTTCATATTTATTTTATTATCGATATCTTGAACTTACACTAACTTTCTAAGAAACCCAAGATTTTGGATTAATCAATATCTTGTGATTGTCTTCGTATTTTCTGTAATATCTTGTGCAATGAACAAAGACTTGAATAGAAATGGATGAACCGAGTCAAAAGACACATTGTCAAATGAAATAGACCTTGAAGTCCTTAAATATCAAGTCAAGCAAATATCAAAAAAGATCCCTAACTTTTATGAGAGTTTGTTATGTACTTATATATAGCCTAGCTGATCCATTTTACATACACATTCTCACATCTACTCTCTCTTGTTCCTTGAACACTCTTGAGCGCATTGACACAAAGATCACGATCAGCTAACACTCGTAACACATTTTTATTTAACAAGAGTTCTAAGGCAATGTGACATTGTTACCTCATGAGGTTTTATATCAGGGATCCTAAAAGATTAAAGATTTTCCTCATACATCTCTCTGTTCTTGCATTTACTTTATTTACATATTGTCAATTGTTTAAATCACAACATCCACATATGTTTTAATCATTTATTTGCACACACATAATAATTTCACATAAACGTCAAGATATCACCTGGTATCTTGACCCTTTTTTGGTAATCTTAAGATTTATTCTGTTATTCTATAAATTTTCAACTTTAATATTATTTTTTGTCTCAACTCTTAAAAATATATGTGTTTATATCTCACATCAAGTCAACATTAATTTTGAATAACCTATTAATGTTACTGTTTTATTCCCAGGATCTTGGACACGACCAAGATCTTAGTATATTTCAAGATCTTAAGCACTTTACAATTTAACATTTTATTCGAAACATCACACCACACTTACTAATTTAGTTTATCAAATTTTGACCAAAACATTTATGATTATATATGTGAAATACCTTTTAAAACTCCTCATCTAATTTGTTATTTTAAACTAGGGATGTTATCCGTGTCGGGACCAGACCGAACTGACCCGAACCTGAATAAACCGAAAACCGAATAAGACTAATTGTAGGAACCGAAACGTGCACCGATTAACCTAATACATGTTTGGTTCGGTTCGGGTATTAATCGGTCTTGGTCGATTATTACCCGAATAACCTGAATAACATTCACAATATGATAAACGCACTATTATAACTGAAAAGAACCACATAAATGTGTTATGATTCCTTAACCCGAATAACATTTACAATATGATTATAAACACTATATTTTTTATTACTTTTGTAGCTTATGATCACATAATAAAAACTTCAAAGAAACAAATATGTTGATTAAAAATAATGTATACATAATTGTTTCAAAAGTGCAAAAAAATGTCAGAATTTTTGTAGTAAGCAAGCACAGTAAGGACAAACATATAATTGTAGGCTTACATGTAAACACGAATTATATACTTGGTATGTTTTTGTTCCCAAATTAACGGACCAAATATTCGATATACACTGAAAATGATTTCACTTTTTCTTTAAATTTATTATAAACACTAATTAATTATTCTTGAGATATAAGAATGTAAAATCCAAACATAAAAATCAGGCAAATCGGAAAAATAACGAAGACATTTTGATAGTTTAAAATTGCCTAAATTTGTGCAAACATCCTGAAACACAAAACTCAGCTTCAATACCCCATGTTTAGGGCATATATCTCATTAAATATATAACAAAAAATAACACATAAACTATTGGATTAAGGTGTGTAAGCCAATAACTAAATTTGTATATTATTGAATTAGAATGAGATAAATATATAACAAAAAATAACACATAAACTATTGGATTAAGGTGTGTAAGCCAATAACTAAATTTGTATATTATTGAATTAGAATGAGAGTCATTTTTGAGTTGCCCTCAAAAGCAATAACTAAACAAAATAATTTTTGAAGAGAGAAACTGATTTGTTAATTTATTATATGATTAATAAATTGTAACAAATGATTTGTTAATATATTATATGATTGATATATTAATTAGAAATTGTAATAATTAATTTGGAATTAATCAGAAATTAATTGGAATTATTTTTGGGATTAACTGATTCAATTAAAGAGTCAGGGACTAAAGTTGTAATTGTTCAAAAGTTGAACAAAGGAAGACTTCCATAACCTTCCCCCATAGAGACGGTTTTGGAGGAACCCAATTAGGGTTTCTGGAAGCCTCTTAATGATAAGGATACTAGAAACATCTCAAAAACATAGCCCAAAAATTTCATTTTAATTCATTAATAAAAACCATAAATATCATCCATCATATAAAAGTCATAGATCGTGTATCTCAAAAATATCATAATATCTGTCAATGTATCAAAATCATATGTCAAAACATTAGAGTGAATTCTCCCAGGCTAAAAACTGTGGTGTGTGCCATGCAGTCATCCTGAGCTCTTCCCCTTACTAGCGGAAGTACCTGAAACCAACACTGAAAACTATAAGCACGAAGCTTAGTGAGTCTCCCCAAACTACCACATACCATACACATAATCACATATATCATACATTAGGCCCCGCCCTACTACATCGGGCACTGCACGACATCGGCTTGTCCGACATCGGGCCCCGCCCGGCATCAGACCGCATCTGGCATCGGGCCCCGCCCGGCATCGAGCCCCACCCGACATCGAGCACAGCTCGGCATACATATGAGCATAAACTACTAACACATATAACATAAGCATAATCACTTAACTATAAACATATAAACATTTTCCTCGGGCCCCGCCCGACATCGGACCGAAATCCGGAAATATACAAACATTCCTCGGGAGCCGCCCTGCCATCGGACCGTGGCCCGGAAACATACAAATACATACAGATGCAAGAATCACAAAGACATCAAGTGTGACATCCCCTAATTTCTCGGCCAGAAAAGACCGATTTAATTTATGCTTTTTAAAATAAAATC